CCGCTACGAACCTGAGTGAGGCACTTCCTCCGTACCGGAATGCATCCTTGTGTGTTAAAGAGAGGGTCGAAGACCTCCTGAGTCGAATGACTCTCGAGGAGAAAGCTGGGCAAATGTTCCAGCTGCAAATCTTCATGGGTCCTAATGGTACATTTGACCCTGGTGACCCTTCTCGACAACGAGGCAGCACCGTTGAGAGGGTTACCAAGAAGTTTATGACCCATTTCAACGTGGCCTTCGCCACTGAGGAAACGAAAGCCAACGCAGAGTTTGTCAATCGTCTTCAGGAACTAGCAATGGAGACGCGTCTTGGAATTCCAGTCACGCTTTCAACCGACCCTCGCCACGCGTTTCAAGAGAATGTGGCTGCTGGCTTCTCCGCCGGCACCTTTTCGCAGTGGCCGGAGCCCATCGGACTTGCAGCCATAAGAGATGTGGACTTGGTTCGGAAATTTGGGGAGATTGCCTGTGAGGAGTACATTGCTATGGGTATTCGAGTTGCGCTACACCCACAGGTTGACGTGACGACAGAGCCACGATGGTCCCGTACCAACCACGGCTTTGGTGAGGATGCCCATTTAACTGCGGAGCTTGTAGAAGCTTACATCCAGGGCTTCCAGGGCCGTGGCAACTTTGGAGCTCACTCGGTTAGCACTGTCACAAAGCATTTTCCGGGCGGCGGTCCAGCAGAAAACGGGGAAGATTCGCACTTCAGTTACGGAAAGAACTCATCCTATCCCGGTAACAACTTTGAGTACCATCTGATCCCATTCAAAGCCGCGATTGCAGCGGGTACTCGACAGATCATGCCTTATTACTCAAGACCTCAGGGTACTCAATACGACTCCGTTGGATGGGCCTTTCAACGACAAGTCGTTACTGAGCTTCTTCGGGAAGAACTAGGTTTTGATGGTATTGTACTCACCGACTGGAGCATCATTACTGGCTCAAGTGCCACCGGTGAGCTTATACCCCCAAGGGCGTGGGGTGTCGAGAACCTGACTGAACTCGAACGCGCTGCCTTGGTCCTCGATGCAGGTTGTGATCAGATTGGAGGTGAAGAGCGCCCTGATATCATCATCGAGCTTGTTAGGCGTGGTATTGTGTCAGAAAAGCGCATTGATCAGTCTGTCCGCCGTTTACTTCGAGAGAAGTTCCTCCTCGGCCTTTTTGAAAACCCCTTCCTCGATGTTGACATGTCGGAGAAAATGGTCGGCAATGCCTACTTCAAAAAATTAGGCGAAGAGGCCCAGCGCCGAGCGTATACTTTACTCACCAACAAAGGCTCGATCTTACCACTTCAACCTGGCCCCGAGATCAAGTTTTTCATTGAGGGTTTCAACGTTACATATATGGATAAGCGTCATCTTACCGTTGTGGAGACACCTGAAGAAGCCGACTACGCTCTTCTCCGTCTTGAAGCTCCGTATGAGCCGCGAAACGGCACGGTCGAGAGGAATTTCCACGCCGGGTCCCTGGCGTACCCTCCAAGCGAGCAGAAGCGTCAGGCAGCGATTTACGAAAGCGTCCCAACCATTGTTGACATGCTCCTTGACCGACCCGCCATTATACCTGAAGTCGTCGAAGGTGCCTCGGCGCTTCTCGGCAGCTATGGCAGCAGCCCCGATGCGTTCCTGGATATTGTCTTTGGCATTGCCTCACCCGGGGGCAAACTTCCGTTTGACCTACCCCGATCGATGGAGGCTGTGAAAGCGAGCATGGAGGACGTGCCGTTTGATACTCGGGATCCGGTGTTCAAGTTTGGCCATGGTCTGAGCTATTCTACCGCCTGTTGCCCCAAACCTACATAGACTATTAAGCCTCGAGAATACCAAAACCTGATACATAAGCGTTCTGAATCGGAAACAAGCAGTAGTCTTCTGTAGCGCTCGTGAGTTGTTTCGAGTCCGATCGCAGTTCAGCCCCGCGGCTCAGATTCAATCCCGGAGAGGAGACAACCCTCCCCGACTCAAGAAGGTCGGCAAAGTTCCGAAGCTCTCATGGAGTCAAATGCCTTGGCATTGGCCCGATGATAACCGGACCATCCCTGAGCCCCAAGAGGCTCAGCCTCCTGTGATGATTTGGTACCAAGAAACACCTTGGCCATCGGATCGTTTGAAAAAATCATTTCCATCACGGGTCTATTGAAGCGACGTGCACAGTCCCATGGCGAGTGGCCCGAATCATCCTGTAGATCAGGGTCGCTGCCACTAGAAAGTAGCAGATGCACGAACCCTATTCTACCTGAGAAGACTGCTAGGTGGAGCGCCGTTCGGCCGTGTTTGTGCTTGATGTCCACCTGGACTTTGGGTTGATTTAAGACGCTCTTGACCCAGTATTTCTCTAGAACGTATGTGTTAGCACCAGGGCGACAACAGCTTTTGCCACATACATACCACGAGCCTTCTCCGTAATATAGTTCTGACTATAAGAAGCTCTCTTCTCCCTCAATCTGTCCCCAGATTGTTGTAGTATTGCCCCAGTGTTGTATCAAGGATCCAAAAGATCACCCAACGGATAAGAAGCAAGATAAGTGGAATGTAGGAGAAACAAAAGCGCCATGCTTTTCCAAATTGGTAATTGCCCATGGGCATCGACACGTAATGTTGTGGGCTCTATTCCCACGTAACAGTGTCAGAATCAATCACGCACGCGCGCTGGAATGGAACACTTGCCCGAATAAATTGCGTCAGGCTGTTAACTTGGTCGATCACAGCAGGAACTAGCTGTGAGCCGGAGCCTGCAGGACGGTTATTCCAATGGTCTGCTAGACGACTCATAGGGCCTGAACAAACATCCCAAACCATGTAGATAATTCAAGGGTGAGCTGGCTGGTTAGGAAACTGTATCAATATTACCCGAAAGGTCTATCTCTATGGTGTGGTCGGCCCGGAAAGGAAAGAAAATAAATCACCGGAATAATTTAATAAACAATGTACTGCCTAATTAACCAGCCACCGAATCACACACTAGGGGCAACGTGATACAAGGGCTAGCAAGTCGTGGAAAAGCATCTGTTCCTTTTTTTCCCCTTAAAAGTCATTGTGGGGATTTTCATCTTCTGCTTATTTCCTCTTTGCCCATTGTCAGATCGGCACTGCTCCACATCACTGAACAATAATGAGTCCACCCTCAGTGTGACAAAAGAATCTCAGTGAAATCCACCCCGTGGTTGTGTCCCCGTTTAGGTCCAACCCCAGTCTGACAGGGGCTATCCAGAACGAATTTCTATGTACCCTGGAAGAGCTCCTCCCCTTTCAATTTCAACATCTCCGCGTTCTGTCCGAAATGGAAGATACGGCACCGGCCGTTTCAGATAACCTTCCCGTTGTGCTGGTATATTGCACTAGCTCTCAGGGCCGATGTAAGTTGCCCACGGAGGCGATTCCCGTCTTGATTTTAACCCTGGCAAAATTCGAATGCATTGGTTGTATGCTCAACCCAGGCAAAAACCACATTCCTACATTGGCACTCTGCAACTCACGAGTAGTCATTGCGTCTCCTCTGCTGCTTCCAGGTACAGCAGATCTCATGCTTGGTGACCTTCTAGGTCAGCTGGTTTCGGCATGCAAACTCCGCAAGCCATCGCTTAAAAAGACAGAGCGATGAACGGATGCTTTTCACGAACCTTGTTCCTGGGAATATCGACCAACCCTGAGTACAAATGACATGAGAGTAGCCGCAGCAACTAGGGAATGTTCGTACTGCTTCAATCTTCATGACGCAGCCAGTGGTATCCGCAGAATATAAGAGTCAGCCTTGCCCTCAACTTAATACTGCATCTCCTCCTTCGCAAAGAACCGCCCCTATTCAATCTCATCATGGTGGACCGGAAACTCATACTTGGCACGCAAATCCTCACTTTCCGGTTACATATGGCTTTGGAAGGACATCCCATATTTCAACCAACAGAAGAAATCAAGCCCAGGCCCGGTTCGCCGAGAAAGTTGTTGCTGGCATCCGCTTTGGATGGCGGCCCATTTACTGAAGACGGAAGCACGAGGGGTCCTTGCGCGTCATCGCCCGATGTAAGTCTCATGTAATGCACATTCTGGGAATTGGAACTGAAAGATCACAGTTTCAAATCAAATCTCCGTCCTCGCTGGATGCACTATCCGACTGCGAAGAGGAGACCTGACTTGCTGTAGCGTTTGCGAAGGGCCTGGCTCTTTGACTTGGAACGAATGGCGATGTGCTATTTTCGGTGAATGTGGACAGTAAAGATGCATTGTTTCTAGAAAGGTAGCTTTGGAGCTACATGAGACTGGTGCAGTAGCCTTAGCGGTACATTACGTGGCATTGCATCTATAGGGGCCTTCCTAGCTATCGAAGGTCTGCTCAGCCAAGTCCATGGTTTCACTGTTTGAAGCACAACTTCAAGTCCCTCTGTTCTGGGCATGAAATCTATTTTATTTCCCTGAGCTATTGTACAGCAATTCGTTCTAAGTCATCCCACCCTTCCTAGCTATCATCATCTGTTCGTTCGGGATTTAAATATCTCGTTGTAAGCCTTGCCGGAGAAACCCAGTTCGAAGCCCAAACGGCGTTTTTCCTTGATACTGTAGTGGTATAGACGACTGTCACAAGAGAACAATGAGCGGCGTGGCTGTTGATACTTTTTACCGAGCCGTCGAACGATTTCTGGACATTGGATCTCATGAACCTTGCAATCCTCACAATAGGAAACTGGCGATCCTTGACATAGTCTTCCGAGTGGGTTTAGAGATCTTATCCTCCAAGGCAAATAGCTGTGGTCTCAAGCAAGTCAGGATCTCTCTATACAATGCTCGATCCATAGCTCTCGTTCACTTGCTTTCCCTGGAATTGAAACTCATTTGACTCTGGCAACTTGTTCTTTGAGGATATGTAGTCATTACACAGCGCGTTCGATCTTGCAGAGTAACCGAGTTCACAATCACCGCCCATCACCGCCTTCGGCGATGACTTTGATTATGCAAAAGAGCCAACTCTTTCCGTCCTCACCAAGGTTTAGCGCTGCCATGGTTCATATTTCCGACCGGAACCTACTCCCACAGCCACCGACAGTCTCGATCGCGCATGGTGAAGGTGCTGTTTCTTCCGCGCGCGAAAATCCCATACCGAATGGCAAGAAGCAGCGTATTGGTGTCCTAATATGTGGCCCTCCGTCCATGCTGCATGATACCCCGGATCGCCGCAGCGCTGGCACAGAAGCGGACACTTGGTGGTGAGGCCGAGGAACTGTATCTGCACTTGGGACCTTTTGCGTGAATGCTCGTTGCTCGCACTCGCAATGTACATTGACTCACTATTTCTAATAAAGCTAGTAATTGCTTTTCTGTTGCGGACTCGGAGTCCATATTAGTGATCTGATATTCGCTAGAAAGCTATATATACCTAGGGATCTCTATAAACTTATCTGATATTCTGTTCCCTCAATGCTTATTGATAGTGCGAGTGTGTATGTGGTCGCTCATAAACCGAAAGAATATCCGCTTTCAGTGAGGTGCTGGTCCTCGAATGACAAGACAGGTAATTTAATTTACTTTCGACAAGGCAAGTCTGACGAACATGTTAAAAAAACTGCATTATTGCTGTAAGATTCCTCGTTATCGCGGGCACCATCTAATGTGAATCAACTCTGGCCGCTCTATGTGCAATGTAAGGAGAGACCGACTATTTTGCAACACCCCCAAGGCCTCCATTTTGGCTTCTTCAAGACTTATACCCGGCCTTGGTACAATCTGCACCGACGTCTGGCGCAGTAGAGTGACAATAACGGCTAATATCTCGAGTTGGGAGAATTTCCTTCCCGGACATGCTCGAGGGCCTTCGGCCCATGCAAAAAGGTGGTCGACCTTTTCACTGTCGAGGTTCTTCTTACTCAACCATCGATCTGGCTTCCATGAGAGAGCGTCCGAGCCCCAATAATGTCGATTTGTGTGTAACGCTGGCGTAAGAATGTTGATCAGAGTACTAGCCGGGATCAAAATTCCTGATCCGCCGGAGCTGGTGATGGCCTGGTCTTGATCGGGAGATGTCCTTCGGAGAAGATTCACGACCGGGCCATAAAGTCGTAGAGTTTCGTACTAGGTGTTCAATCAGTTCCTGTCGTGCATTGAATATGACTGCATTATGTTACCATTATTGCTTTCAGCCGAGTAAGTCGATTAAATACATCCTTGTATGAAATCTCTTTATCCAACGGTATCCCAGAGAATATCTCATCAATTTCTTGAATGACCCAGTTTTGCCAGTCAGGGAAGATAGCCAGAAGATAAACAATGTAGACCAGCGTGTTGGCGGTCGTTTCATGACCGGCGAACATGAAAAGGAACAGGTTGCTTTCTATTTCTTCGTCGGACAGCATTTGGGCATCGCGTAAGCTTAGCATAGAAGAAAGGAGATCATTTTTTGTTGACGGGTGGCGTCTTCGATAATTCACCAGGCCTGTCAAGACGGACTTGATCTCTTGATAGCTTGCACGAAAGGCATCACGAGACCTTTGTCCACCCTTTCGAACCTCGGGGTTTCTCAAAATCATTTTGAAAAAAGTTTCGAGCTGCTTCATTGCGGTATCGGTGACCAGACTGGCCGCTGCATTGTTATCGTCGTTGTCCAGGCCAAGGCACGCTTTCAGGAGAACTGCAAAGCTTAATCGTATCATGTTAGGATGAGTACTGGACATAGAATCCTGAGACCTGAAGTGTTTCAAGATGTTGGATGCTTCAGAACAAGATGTCTTCCACACTGCTTCGTGGATTGTCTCCGAGAATGCTACAGCGGTACATCGGCGATGACGGTTCCAGTCTGCGCCATCAACCTGTTCCAACATACCCATCAGTCGACTTCACAGATGAAGGAATCGGTGTTCGGCAGGAAGGTGAAGGGAGACACCATACAGTAGCTAAACTTTTCCCAAATATTTGAAGTTTTCCTGGCAACCAACTTAGCACCTCCGGATAGCCGACAAGGTTCAACGTTCGTTCGGCTTACTCGTAAAGTCAAGAGGCTTAGGGAAGTCTTTCTTCCGCATGAGAATTTCGCTGGCAGCTTTTGAGTCGGCAATGTATAGCTCGCAGCCAGCCGGAGTGACGATCGCAAACATGTTGCCATACTTTTCGAAGATGGCATGCTTTTCCCGGAACACCCATTGCGGCCGTAAAATTCGAACAAAAGGAAAGATCCTCTGCCAAGAAATAGGTAAGTTACCTTCCATCAGAGTCTGTATGTGTCCCCATTGTCCATGGTATATAGGAGAGACGATCACGGGGACTTTTAGTCGCTGAGCAATGGACCAGTTCCGACAGAGAGGGAGGCCCAGGGCACCAACACCCCAGGCAGCAAGAATTAGTATCAGCAAAGAGAGGAGCATCGCTGCAAGTGAGCAGAAAATAGTAAGCAGAAAAACCGCAAAGAATAAATAAAGAGGTGGCTGTAGAGATACCTACTCTCTATATCGTGCTACGTACTCCGTACATCGATCGATTTCGGGATAACGGACCCACATGGTCACCCAGATTTCCAATTCTAAAATAAAAATCTAAATATTTGAAAGTGGGGTTCGTGTTCGTACTCGTGATTTTATCTGCTTCCGGATCTGCGCACCGACACAACCCCAGCATCATCTGACTTATGGATTGGCTCCGTCGGTAGTCTCCAATATTGCCTCCCTAGACTGAATTTCCTGTAGCCGTGTCACAGGACCGCCCCGCGAGGTGTCCCACAGCCATAATGCAATTAACCTCCATAATGCAAATTTCCTACCTTTTCAACTTTTACGCGTATTTCTACCCACCAAAAATGCCTAAAAAAGCTCGTGATGAAGAGGATCTGCTAGCTAAGGCATTATATGCTTATACTACGCGAAAATTTTCATCTCTACGTAAGGCTGCGGACCATTATCGCGTGTCTTATTCGAAGCTTCGCGGTCGCAAAAACGGACAGACATCTCTCTCCGATCGCCCTACCACCAATAATGCATTGAATTCGAATCAGGAAAATGCATTAATTAGCTGGATCGAAGTGCTAAATTCTTGCTATACACCTCCAACTGCAAAAGATATTGAAATTGCCGCAAATCGCCTGTTGAAAATAGCGGGTTCGGAGAGAGTTGTTAGTTCAATGTATAGCTATCGGCTTATACGGCGTCTACCTCCACACATCAAGCTTATTACCCAAAAATCAAAGGAGTCTTTACGAATTCAAGCTGAGGACCCTGGAGTTATTAGCCATTGGTATGATAGGCTTGAGTGTCTCTACCGTGAGCATGGTTTTGAACCTCATAAGATCTATAATTGGGATGAAACCGGCTTCCAAAATGGCGAAGGACTTAACCAACACGTCGTCTCTACGCGCCAAACTGCTAGTATTGCTACTAGAGATCGAGGTGAAACTATTACTGGCATTGAATGTATTGCCGCTGATGGCTGGGTGATGTTTCCGTGGTTTCTAGTCAAAGGTAGCGTCCACATGGAAGACTGGTATAGTAATATGTCAACCTCTTCTTCGGCGTACAAAATTATCCACTTAACGTCTAGTGGCTGGACGGATAGTGAGACTGCTTACCGATGGCTATGCTCATTTCATGAAGCCACAAAAAACCGCGTACGACGTGGGCGACCGAGGCTTTTGCTAATGGATAATCATACGTCTCATACAACTATCGAATTTCTCGATTTTTGTAAGGAAAACCTGATTATTCCTTGGTATTTTGTACCTCACACGACTCATATATGTCAGACCCTTGATGCTGAGGCTTTTTTAAGCCTAAAACATGAGTTTAAAATGGCGAATACTGAGGTTGTGGCGTGGGGTGGAAGCAACGAAAAACGCGATTTTTTCCGCAATATTGACGCCGTCCGACGCCACGCCTTAAAGTCCAAAACTATCCAAACCTCGTTTAAATCTACTGGTATCTGGCCACTAGATCCGACACAAGTTTTGGGTAATTTAGGGCAGTATTCGGACGAAGAGACCTTACGTATGTACGACGAGCCGTCACCCACCCGCGAATTCCCAAGTTCAGCGACCAATTCTCCGCCCAATTCTTATGCGCGTATTGAAAAATTGGAGAAGACAGTTTTCCCGCTACTTGATAACCCGAATCCTGATTTACATAAAATTCGGAAGCATCTACGGCGCGCAATTGATGCCGGAAAATCGTCTCTATACAATGCGGAACTTGCTGAGATGAGTCTTGCGCGCGCCCTTAGCCATAAAACGCCTGGGAAAAAACCTACAAAAAGCAAGCGATGGGTGAAGGGTGCTACAAAGAGTCCCCTTTCATCGATTTCAGGCAATAGGCTAGTACAGCGAAGGTGTGAGAAAGAAGATGAGTCGAAGCTTCGTGCTTGGCGGAAAGACGCAGAGAAAATGGCGGCCGATTTGGCGGCTAAGGAATTGGAGGAAACACTTGAAAATGAGGAGGTTGATACATTATTGGCTAATGAGGCTATTGATGGGCTTTATTTCATGGATTCTGGACCTTATACGTCTAAAAAGTGAGCTAGAAGTTGAAGAAATTGAAAATTTGCATTATGGCTGTTAATTGCATTATGGCTGTGGGACACCCCCTACCCGGAGGGTTGGGGGTCGTCCCGTGACACGGCTATGCCTCACACGAGTACGAATGCGTGCACAGCCACTATATCTTCGAAACGCTTACAGCTAGATATGGCCACGCGCCGCTCTCATCAAAAATCACGTCATGGATGCTCCAATTGTAAGCGAAGAAAAGTGAAGGTATGCGGTCATCTTACCTTGAATGGACAGAAACTGAACCTGATTGATAATTCCATCAGTGTGATGAGACGCGGCCATGTTGCCAGAATTGCACTCAGCGCAATGACACATGCGTCTACATCTCGCCAGTGCCTTTTGTTTTTGCAGGCAAACCAGAGAAACCGGGCAGGTCGTCATCAAAGACTGCGCGTGGTGCAAAACCTTCGACCGAGGGTGGCAGCTCCGAAATATCATCACATGCCGTCAACAACTATATTTCTGTCTTGGGTACGACAACGGCGGCAGCTCCGCTGAATTTGGATCACCTGGAACTTGAGCTACAGTGGATAATGCATACTCACAAGCTATTCGCCAGAAATGAGGAGACAAGAAAAGTCTGGGAAATACCAGTGCTTCAAGAAGCACTACATACTCCGTTCTTAATGCACGGAATACTGGCCATTTCCGCATTGCACCTTGCTCATATTCGCCAGTATGAGCGCCAAACAGAGTGGCTCAATATCGCGATCGTGCATAAGAGCACGGCACTGGCTCTCTTTTCAGAACAACTGCATCACATTGACGAATCTAATGCTAGAGCTATGATGAGTTTTGCCGGAATTGCAGTGGTGTTCAGCTTTGCGAGCGCACTTATTTGCTCCAACTCTGACGAGGGACCCAGTCTAGAGGCCTTGGCAGATATTCTGATTTTGGCTCGCGGAATTCAGACAGTCGTGGGCCAAGCAAAAGAATTTCTTCGACACAGCAATTTTGCGCCTTTATTCGATGTCACTAACCCCGAGGTGGCTGTCCCTGATGATGTTCTTAGGGCGCTCGATCATCTTGAACGCCTAAACGCTCAGTATGGTCAGCAACCAGACATTCAAGGTGGAAAATCCTACGAGCCTGCAATCCGGAGCATGAAGGAGCTAGCCCCTTTTACCTATGCAGGGCCTACGTCATTGACAGTAGTGGGCGGATGGGCTATTCGATCTTCTCCAGAATTTTTGGAAGGGCTCAAAAACCGCGAGCCTTTTTCCTTAGTGATTCTTGCGCACTTTTGCGTGTTCTTGCACATCACTCGAGAGAATTGGTGTATTGGATCCTGGGGTCGGATCGTTCTTGGGGAAATATTACAAATTTTGGATGCTGACTGGCAATGTCATATAAAATGGGCAGTGGCGCAAGTTTTGAGATAATAATTCATGATCAGCGATGAATGGATTGATTATTATTCAACTTTAAATTCCGGCGCGAGGCTTAATTAGAAGACATCTGTTCAAACAGTAATAGACCATAAACTCTTTATGTATCCTCCTCACATAGAAATTTTTATGCAACTGTCTCTGCTCATACTTCTCCCGAGGGACCCGTCTCGAGCGCGGAGCCTGGAACAAACTCGCGGGTCCAAATAACTTTCTCCGAGTACTTGTGGCCGCGGCCGATCAAGCAGTTGATCTCGCTGGGGTGCTCATACTGAAGAACAAGCACAGCAATGAACATAAGGAGGGCGTCGAAGACATAGATAAAGGCCTCATGCTTCATCAGATATCCATCATATCCTTGCAGGTATTCCACGACGCGAATGACAGAACGAATCAGAATCAAAATACTGGCTGTGTAGAGAGCAATCATATGGTGCGCCCACAGACCTTTCAACTCCACCGAGCGGGCGGTCGGGGCCTTAGAGATGCGAGATTGGAAGACAATAGCGCTGATAGTAAAAAGACCGAAGAAGATGATTTGTACGAAGAGACCGCCGATAATAATGTGTTCGCCAGTAGTTGGATCATTTCCATTTGAGACCATAAGTCCCGCGCCTTGAAATCAATCAGTTTAATTTCTTGGTGAGCATCTTTGGTTGGAAGAATCTAGGTACCTGAGGCCTGCATCAAGAATGAAAGCACATCGCCAGCGACGAAGATTTTGGTGAGCCATCCTATCCTGATGACCGAGAGTTTCTCTGCGTCAAGCATATAGATAATGCGTCCGAGGGACATATAGATACTCGCAGCAAGGAAAGCCGGCGCAATCAAGATCAATGCGCTTTGCATGATATATGGGCCCTTGGTGAAGTCCGGGGCCTCAAATGATGCAAGTAAACGTCCGATATAACCAATAGTCTCCACTAGAAAGGTATGAACTGATCAGCATTACGTCGGAATTAAAGTAACCGTGATCTGGACTTACAGATTGCGCCAATAAAGAAGGGAATCATGAACCATGTCCTTGTCCGCACAAGCTGATAGAAATGTAAGACACTGCTCAGCCCGAATAGAACAGTGAATATGACTGCCGCCGCAGTAGACGGCGTATAGTAGTAGAAGATGAACTCCATTGCTGCTATATTTTTCCTTCTGTATAGCCGGGGGAGAACGAGTCAGGTCTGGACGGGTCGAGTGTTGTTAGATTTGAAACTGGAAAAGAGACCGATCGAACTGAGACTTTATATTTCAAGATCAAGCGAAAGGCCAAAATTCCAATACAAGGACACCCGATTTAGGGGTACTCCGTACACGTACCCCTACCCCTGTTTCTCAAGCTTATTTGCTTCGTACTCGTTCCATGCTCCGTTGCGGGAAGGCTGAAGTGGGGCGTTGAGTACTCGCCACTATTTTTGCGACTGTTTGTTCGTGTTCGTGACTTTGTCCAATTTAGGAATGATTCGGTTTCTAAAACGACAATAACCGAAAATTCCTTTGTGACTGGGGTCTCTCAATTTTGACTAGACAAAATCTAAATGGATGAATTTTATGATCCGCTGAGGGATCCTCTAGAGAACCACAACACCCGCCTACCATCCAACCAAACCTCACGACTACTTAGATTTTGAGCGACCTGAGACAGTGGTCAGATTGCTGCAATTTCTCATAGCTAAGTTTACCATTTAAATACAATGAACCCTAGGAGCCTGTAAATCGTTTTCGCCGCATACTTTTTACCGTTTTATCCTTTGCCCATTCTCTCGTCTCTCGCGTTCAAGATCATGGCTTACAAACTTTACAACTACAATCCTTCCGGCGGCGCAGCCATTCCTGCTGCTGCCCTTTTCGGCCTAGCAACTGTCCTCCATATTCTTCAGATGATTCGTGCCCGGAGTTGGTACATGATTCCATTTACAATTGGTGGTGTCTGTAAGTTTTCCCACGATATACGTGAATATACTCCCGGGTTATTTTCTAAGTCTTCTTTCAGTCGAGGCAATCGGCTACTTGTGCAGGTACATCAATTTCACCGAAACACCAGACTGGCAAACCACGCCCTATATTGGACAGAGCCTTCTTATTCTTCTCGCTCCTGCCCTCTTTGCTGCATCTATTTACATGATACTTGGACGTCTTATTGTGGCCTTGAATGCGAGTTCCAATTCAATCATTCGGCCGTCATGGTTAACGAAAATCTTCGTGATCGGAGATCTTATTTCCTTCTTGATGCAATGTGGGGGTATGCTCCCTTTTTCGCTGTTAGGATATAGTCAAACTTGAGACAGTAACTGATCTGATTTCTGATAGGAGGTGGATTTCTTGCCAGCGCGAAGACCCCAGAGAAAGTGGAAATGGGTGAGCACATGATCCTCGGCGGTCTCTTCGTCCAAATATTCTTTTTCGGAATCTTTATCATTGTTTCGGTAATTTTCCATCGTCGGATGCTTGCTTCCCCTATGAATTATGTGGGAGGAAGCCGCATCCCCTGGTCACGGTGTATGAAGGTCATGTACACTCTCAGTTGTCTGATCATGGTTCGTTCAATCTACCGAGTGATTGAATACGCGCAGGGCAGCGGTGGCTATTTCCAAAGCAAGGAAGCATTTGTCTATGTCTTTGATGCCGCGCTAATGCTCGCTTGCTGCGTTGTTCTACTTTTTCTACAACCCAGCAAAATGCTGGGTCAACAGGGAAAGGGATACCGAAAGTCTGAAGATCTCGAGATGCTAGCTGGCCGTCAGGAGAATGGTCCAAACTATTAAGTTTTGAGCTGAGACAATATGAAATACAATACTCTATTCCTTCCTATTTACAGTGGCATTCCATCTGTTAGAAACCTTTGCAAAGCTTGAAGTTATCTCATCAGTCATAAATAGAGCGAGAAACCGAGAGATACTGCACGGGCTATCTAGGATGACGATTCAAGTCTTTTAGAAAATTCATTAAACAGAGTAATTTGAAGAATATCTGGCTGGATCACTTTTCCTGTCTCTAAATTCAAAACTTGCTACTGTCACTCTATGTGCGGGGCAACTGTAAGACCACCACAAATGAACGAAAGAGGTTGAGTTCTGTCTATTCATACTGTAATGCATCTAGCACAGATAACTAACTGATATGACACATGTTTGAAATTTCTGCAGATTGGCCATGCCACATCTGGAAAATGATACGAATCCAGATACTGTCCATGTACAGTATAGAACTAGCCTCATGCTCAAACGTCGTGACTTGCTAGCAGTCGATCAAGTTACTTGCAAGAATATATAAGGAACCAAGGCACCATTAAATGTCCGTTTTCGAACTGGCCCGTCTTCGAAGATGAACTACGGATGTATTGATTACGGTGGGTCTGAAAGCCAGTTCATTTCTGATTTTGGCAAAAGGTACGAGTAAAAATATCAATGTACTGTACTGTAAGACCACATTTTGCCAGTGGATGCTTTTTTGGCCATCGGTGACTAAATAGAATTTTAAGAGGTCTTGATCCAAGTAAAACAGACAAGTACGAGTAAACGGCGCAACTCGGTGAGCCGATCGTGCTCCCAAGGTATGGTTAACGACAAACTGGTTAGGTCAGAGAGCTTTTGCCAAAATGGAGGACATGCGCAATCAACAATCCAGGTATTTCAGTTATCGCCGGAAGCAAACTTGTCCTTACAGGTTAGCGTAATCATTGAAAGGCGTGGTCATCCCCGCAACGTTTTGAGTTTCCTCCCGATCTTTCACCTTCGGAGAGTAGTCGTCCATCCCCAAGTCTGAGATGAGATCGGCCAGTATCGGAGCCCCGACCGGGGTCTTAAGGTGGCTTGGCTTCAGAGCCGAGTACAGCAAACAGTATTCGTCTCAAATGATGGTAGGACCGTTTTGCCCGTTGATACCCGACCTTCTTGCCTGGAGAAATTTACAAACAACCCGCATGTAGGGCTGTTACGAATATTATTCGCGCAGTTGTGGCATGCGAATATTCGTTATTCGCAAACTAGGCTGGGTAGTCAGAGAAAATGATCCATATATGTAGATATATATATATCTCCCTCTTATATTGGCTTACACGTTGCGTATACAGGAGTTGTACACCAGGAGAAACTCTTGTTCCCGTGATTTGAACGTCCATTGATTCTACCTATTAGAAAATTTCTAAAGATGGATTTCTTCAGAAACCTATGGAAGCCAAATGTTCGATAATCATCAAGCGTGATGATAGGCGTGCTCATGGCATTTTTAACTATCACGTCTGCAAATAGAAAGCGACTACATTAAGTGGGAGATCAAATTCGATCTCGGAAATTGATGGCGACGTAGTCTCCCCCGCTGTGGAGGCAGTGTGTTGGTCTCTAAATCACCCATTCTAAGTTCTGACTGAACCGGGACTCGACACAGCCATCCACTCGGCCATCATTGGCCAATGATAGTCGCTGCAAAGGAGTCTAAGCACACAGTAGCTCGGGAAATCCATTCTGTCCGCTTTTCGTGTGATAATAGAGCTCATATTGTGGCGGAGGGTCGAATTGATATCCGTTGCCGTGGAAGGGTTCCGCTTCGACCATGATGGAGACCGGTTCAAGACTTCAGAGTCTTGATATCAAGATTACCGAGAGATCTTTGAAGAGAATCGAAGAACAGAAGTTTCAGGCACCGACAAATCATTTAGATTACTTTGTCAATCGTAGGGAGTCGGCGAAAGGAACGCCGGGTATATTCCGAGATACCGAGCGCCGGACCGACTATTTGCAGGTTCATTCTGATATGTCCCTAGATACATGTGGGTCCAACTCTTGACAATCTCATTAGCTAGAAATTACCGAGTTTTACATGAGTACGACAGAGTTTCCTAATGCGATAAGCCTCATCGCCTCAGCCCCAGATTGATCAGCGAAGTGGGTATGCCCGAGAATATAGTTTCCAAGTTTTCAATTTACTGCCGAAGTAATGGAGCAATTTCAATAATTTCGGAAAATCCCCATCAGAATCCTCAGAAACAAGTAGCTAAA